ATGATGATGATTATTATTAATACTATTATTATCATTATTATTATTATTATCATGATCTTTATTTGATGAGAAGACTGTTCTGAGTGAAAATGAAGTCTGGAATAGAACTTGTATTTTCATATTGTAAAACCTCCTATAGTTCCTGAAAGTCTAGTTTGGATTCCTTCGTGGTGATTTCAGGTAAGACAGACGAGGCTCGAGAGCTCAAAGATATTATTTATTAACGACATTAACGAGCTCTCATGGACTAATTGATTAACAACAAAATTAAAAAAGACAGCTCTCATGGTCTCCCTACAAACCATCTGCAGGGAAACATAGAAAGCAACCAGAACTGACACATTCACTGCACAACCACACTAATGAACGTGTAAAACACGTGACAGGAAGACGAGCAGGTACAGGTGAGTGTGGGCGGGGCCAGGAGCAGAAGCAGCACAGTCATGAACACAGAATCACCAGAAACTAAACTGAGCACACAAAACAACTAAAACGCCAAACCTGAACAGCAACACAGATGCTGACATCTTTTCAAAAGTAACACCCGGACTCCTGGAGTCCACCCCAGAACCGAGGGAACACCAGGACCCTCGGTTCCACTCCTCCAGAACCGGTCAATGTTTGGGTCTCTCTCTAAGGCTTTATGGAAATCCCACCACCATCAAAGTTGATCAGTTGTTCTTTCCCTTCTTCGAGGGTTGAAGTCACAGAAAGGATTTGGGGATTGCTTCACCTGGATGTGCTTCCTGGTGCAACCTGGGCTCAAACCTGCAGCCTCAGGACAACAGCACCACACTGACCACCGAGCTACCGCGGCACCTTCTCAGGTGTAATCAGTAATTCCTGAAAATGTTTCCTGGAAACTTCTTGAAGGTCTTTGAACGCCTAAAATAATGTTAGTCTAAAGCAAAATTTAACCGTCTCCTCCCTCAGGGATCCCTGATAGATTATAATTTTAATCTGAAGTAGCCAACCTGAAATCATCTCTGAGATGTTCGTTAACTCCTGGTGGATCTTTGACCTTTGTTTAGTCAAATCCAAAATAAAACTCAAAGTCATCTGAAAAGAGGATTCCTTTAATGGTTTTAAAAACTTTTTTCAATACGCCACAGACCTCCAACAGACTCCGAGGACCCCAGAACCAGTTTCACCTCAAGACCCAAAACATTTCCCAGAGTCCTCCAGTCTGAAGTAAATTAAATGAAAGTTGAAGAATCCTGCAGCTCTGGATCCCATGAAGAGGGCTGTAAATAAACCTATGGAAGAATCTACCGGAACGTCTTGGGTTAACTCCCAGAAACCTGGAACCATATAACGGATGTTTGGAATACCTCAGAGGGACCCTAAAACCTCACAGAAAGACCCCGCCCCCCCAGAGCCCCTGACAAAGACAACACATATGACCTGGACCACTGATCTCTGTGGATCCTCCGGTCCGGTCCGGTCCCCTCCTCAACATCAAAGCATTCCGGGTGTGAAAACAACCGTTGGGGCGTCCGCTCGTAACCTCCGCAGTAAATTATCAAGAAGAGGAAACCTGCACCTGCAGACCCCAAGTGTTCAACACACAAGGACCAGGAGGAGGTGCTCTCTCCACGCCTCATACCTCCACCTCTCCAAGCTCTCTTCCACCTGTTCCCTGCTCTCATCACATCATCTGCAAACATCACAGTCCATGAGATTCCTGCCTGACCTCATCTTTATTAGTAATTAACCTTTATTTAACCAGGCGAATCCCACTGAGATCACAGATCTCTTTCACAGGGGAGGCCTGGACCTGAAGCAGCCTAACATGCATGTTTTTGATCTGTGGGAGGAAACGGAGGACCCGGAGAAAACCCACGCAAGCACGAGAAGAACATGCAAACTCGGACCGCTTTAGGTTTGTTGGAGGGGCCACACACTATAAGCTAAAAATATCTAATGTTTTTTAACACTTATTGATATTTTTACAATTTAAAACAAAAGAAAAGAGCAGAATCTTGTAAAGAAGAAAATAATTAATAAATTGTATTTACTTTGTCAGTTTTTAAAAAATTAAAACTATGAACGGCAGATCTATGTGATTATTTTAATTGTGGAAAAATACTGAAATATAGAAATAAAACATAAAGTATTTTTTACTTCTTGTATTAGTTCTAGCATTCACATATTTGCAAAAGAAATGACCAAAAAACAAACCAACTGAAAACTGCTACAACCAGCTTTATTTTAGTTTGTACAAAGTATAACAAGCAATAAAATTCTTTTTATGTCAGTTTTGAACGATCTGCTTCAGAGGGACCAAAGAGCCACATGTGGCTCCAGAGCCGCAGGCTGCAGCACCTGTCGGCCAGAGCAAACAACAAGGGGCTCAGAGCCCATCCCTGATGCACTCCCACCTCCACCTTGAAGCTATCTGTCACTACAGCACCCAGTGGTGCCTCCTGAGGGGGGGCTACTGAAAATCCTGGGGTGGCACGCCAAAACTAAGAGTCAGATCAGAACATCTGGAGTTCCACATCAGTCCAGTTTTAATGTGTTCTGTGTTTTTACAGAAAAGACAAACTTTTCGTCCTTTTCCCTAAAAAACTCAGATAAATAATCTGAAGAGGAACAACGAACAGAACATTTAAAAAAGTACTCAAGCACTTCTAATTATTTTAAAAACGTGTTTAGTTGCTTGTTGTTGTTGTTTGTGAACAAAAACACATCATTTAAATATTATAAACTGGGGGACTGAAACACACGAAAAGCTAAATGAATATTTATAAATGAAATATTTTGAGCTCTGTCACTCTGTATCCTGACGCTCATTGGTTCCTTATTCAGGGGGAGTAGAACTTTTATTAAAGTTTGATTTTAGTTTTAAATCCTGTCTTTAATTCCTAATCACTTTAAAATAATGCTTGTTTTAATGTTTATGAGGTTTTACTAATCAGAGACTCAAGAAGATGAAACTGTCTGGCTAAGGGGGGCCACCGGGGGAGGGGGGCACTAATGCCCTGCTCCTTCCTAAGCGGTGAAATCGGCTCTCATTGTCGTTGTTGCGTCATGAAAATTGTGTCATTTTGTTTTCAGAGTAGCTCCGCCCCTTCTAGACACAAGACCCTGCGTGCACGTCACATAATGTGTGATTGGTCAGAAGTTTGTGGGCGTGTTTGTCGGTGCGCTGTACGACTCTTCAGACACATGAAACGAGTCAAACGGACAAAATCTCCTGGATGGAGACCGTGCACACTCCGTGCACGGAGGCGTCTGCCTGCAGAAAAGTGCGGCGTTCTCTTCGTGACAGGTTTGTGGCCAAACGGCGGCTGCAGGGACGGAGTGGAGACTCTGGCAGGAAGTCTCGTGCGGTGACGTTTACTGCAGGGGGCGGAGTTTAGGAGGGTCTCGTGGACTCTGGAAGGTGTGCACGAAACCGTGCGCCAACTGTTTGTCTTCGGATGGAGTATGCAGGGCTCTTAAGGGGTGGACAGTGCCCCCCGGCCCCCCCTTGGTGGTGCCCCTGACCTCAGCACTGTCCTGCTGTCCTCTCATGTCCTGTATTTTGTTTTCAGCTTCATCCACAGCTCATCTGTCTGAGAACGTCTCTCCTGTTCACTCGTCTCTTCTGCTGAGACGGAACCGGGAAATAAATCCAAATAAACCTGATTTTTACCAACAGTTTGACACGGTGCAATAAGAAAACCACCGCGGTGAAACATAATACTTCTAACACAATCCTGCTGATCATCTTGTTTAAAAGCCAGAGTCACACGCAGCCAAGAAGGTTCTTGTGTTTTTATGGTTCTGACATTGAACTGGTCCAACTTCTTCGTTTTTTCATGTTATTTCTAAAAGCCTGAATAAAAACATGCATGTAGTTTCACTTTCATGATGGTTCTGATCCGTGTTTTTGTTTAAATAAGGCTTCAGGTAAAGGGTAAATTACAGGTTGGCTTTCAGTTCATGTCTATTTATGGAGACTAACGCCCCTGTATGCTGACGACTCGCTGTTTTTATAGCAGATTTGATTGTTGTGGAAACAGGATCATCGCCGTCAGAAGAGCTGCCAGCACGACAAACTGCACCGAGCTGCAGGGCCCACCTGTCACCTGTTTGCCTGCCCCGTCACATGACTGTTTAGAGCCAACAGAGAGCGCAGGGATCCTTTAATCTCTGTTACTAAATGTTAAAAAACACCAGCGTCGCGCTGATGGAGCTGCGGCCTGGAGGCTCTGGAGTGAAAACATTTAGAGGCCAAACATTCGTCAGGAGTTCCAGAGGGAAAACACGTTTTCAGGAACAGGTCACCTGGAAAAGGCAACAAAGAGGAAGGAAGGCTCTGTTTTCTGTGCAAACCTGTAACACACAACCAGAGGAAGGATAAACATCGCACGCATACTTCAACTTCGGCTAATTAATCAGCTAAAGGTTACCCACTACCTCGGATTAGCCGTCGCTGCTCTTTCTGCAGGGGTCGAGCGAATTCACAGGAAAGAAGGCGTCCTACCTGACCCCACCGGGCTCGGACCTGTGGCCTCCAGATTCTAAGCTGCCGTGCTGACCACCACACCACAGCTCTGGTCAGCTGGGTTTTATACTGATTTATTAGCTTATATATTTATTTAGTAACAAAAAGTAGTTTGTGAATAAATGGAGCCCAAGAAAAGAGCATAGCTTAATACGTTAGCTTAGCTTAGCTGAAGTTATTTAGACAGAATCACAAACTTTGTTAAATTATTTAGACAGGATCACAAACTTTGTTAAATAATTTAGACAGAATCACAAACTTTGTTAAATTCAACCAGGAAGAATAAAATCACAAGTTTTCAGTTTAAAACTTTTTTTCTGCAGAGATAAACCTCCAAAGGGTCAAATACACAACTGATCATTTTTACCTTCAGGAGGCTTCCTGGGAGAGCCCCGCCCACCGAAACTACTTCCCTGCTCCCATTGGTCGGCGCCGGACGCGCAGCAGCCAATCAGAGCGCAGCTGGCGCTTCTTAGCGCAGTGAGGGACGGGGTCCAGCTCAGAGGGACGGAGGTTCTGTCCGCAGCGCATTCGCATTCAGACTGGAGTCCGGACCGCCTGGGCCCCCCATCAGGGCTCGAACCACCCGGAACCTTTCTGCTGGACCCGCCGAGGTAACGCCAGGCGTCCACGCGCTCCGGTTCTGTTGTTTGTTCTGGATGAATGAGAGGTTCCGTGGACCCGAACTGTAAAATAAAAGTTCAAAACAAAGTTTAGTTTTTAAAAGTCTGAATGAAAACAGATTAAATATCAATTAATGTTTAATCGGAACCGAGTTCTGATCACGAACACTTTACATTAAAGAACAAATCTGAAGAATTTATTTAGTTTCTATTTAACTTTCAGCAGTTTTTCTGTTTTTATTGAACTTAATTTAAGATGATTTTAAACTGTAACGTTTGGTTTTTATTAAACTGGAGATGAGAATAAATAAAATAAAAATGTTGGAATGAATTACTTTAAAATGTTTCCGTTTCTCATTTTTAAACAATTTTTCTTTTTGATGAACAGATTAAAGACTGAATTTAAATCAGAGCTGGAGGAAACCCTGCAGAACCCAACCACGCAGAACCAGCAGAACCCTGCAGAACCCAACCACGCAGAACCAGCAGAACCCTGCAGACATGTCGGACAGCACCGGCTGTGAGTTTGAAATCGACGTGGAGACTCTGGAGTCCGACGAACTGGGCCCTGAAGACTCCTGCAGCCGGCCCGGTTCGGCTCCGCTCGGACCGGACGGAGACTGCACCAGGAGCGAGGAGCCTCCGGGGCCCGGCGGCCTGAGCTCCGGGGACCAGAGGAAGCTGAGCCGGACCCCCAAGTGCGCGCGGTGCCGGAACCACGGGGTGGTCTCGTGCCTGAAGGGCCACAAGCGGTTCTGCCGCTGGCGGGACTGTCAGTGCGCGAACTGTCTGCTGGTGGTGGAGCGGCAGCGCGTGATGGCGGCGCAGGTGGCCCTGAGGAGGCAGCAGGCCACAGAGGTAGGCCCGGTTCCGACCCGCTCCCTGTGACAAACATTCAGGGTTTAACGTTGGAGCTTCTGGACACATGCGGGTCAGAACTCAACCTGGACCCTGAAGAGTTTCAGGATCAAATTTAAAAATCGTTTAAAATAATTAAATCTTCAGTGATAAAAGTTCTGCTTCAATATTTAACTTTAGTCACACTTTGTTATTTTAGTTCAGCTGAAATAATTTTAATTAAGGTTCCTCATCAGAAGATCATTTATATATACTTTATATTTTAATTCAACCTTTTATTTACAAGTTTGTAAAAGTTTATTTACAATAATCCACCGTTCTTAATCTGTTTAGATTTCACTGAGTTTTAATTCAGATAATCTGTTTTAGTTTAGATTTCCACATTAAATCATAAAAATATTAAAATAAACAAATTAACATTAAATCTGTCAGAACAGGAAAACGATAAAACTCATTTGGATTATAAAGAATTAAAAATAAAATCGTCCAAACATCAGAGGCTGCTTCAGTTTTTAGTTTTTAATAAATTAATTTTCTGCACAGAAAAATAAATTTAAAGGTAAATTCTTTTTTTATTTTTATTATTAAACATAAATTCATGCAGGTTGATTTTTGGAGTTTGTTGATCTGACTCAGACTGAAGTGAAAAACTTTACAACAAAATAATTTAAACTGAATAAATGTTGGGACCAGAACCGGTTTATGGGTCCAAACAGTTTTTCTGTTCCACTTTGCTTTGAGTCTGAATTATTGAACATGTTGTCTCTTTTTCTCTCAGTTCATTTTTTTAGATTAATTTAAATAAATTTTAACGTTCCCCACTTTGTGTAGAATAATAATCTGAGCCTTGTTCATTAAATTAAACGTTTAATCCTGCCATAATCTGGTGTTTCAGGATGAATTAAAACGTGTCTCTCTTGGTTTCTCGTGTTTCAGGACAAAAAAGGCATTTCTGGGAAAGTGATTCCAGCAGAGCGGAGGATTTACCAGCGACACGTCCGGCCGTCCACCATGTTGGCGAAAAGCATCCTGGAAGGTACCGGACGCTCCAGAACCGTCTGTTTAACTTTGAAACGTTTGGACTCGTCGTCACGCTCTTGTTCTCTTCACCAGGGTACCGTCCGGTCCAGCCCGACCCGTTCCTGGTGGCCAACACGACTCTTCCTCCTCCGCTCAGCGACCGGATGAGGAAGAGGAGAGCCTTCGCCGACAAGGAGCTGGAGTCCATCATGTTGGAGCGCGAGTACAAGGAGCGCGAGCTGCTGGACAACGGCCAGGCGGGGCCCGGCCCGCTCGTCTTCCCCGGCGGCCTGGTCCACCACGCCGCCGAGTACAACGCCTACAAGACGGCCTTCTCCCCGGCAGCTCCGGTGGAGCCGCAGCCCAAAGAACTCTGCGGCTTCCTGGGTCCGAACCGGCTGGATCTGTCCGTGCAATACCCGTCCAGCCCGGCCAACGTGGAGCTCATCTCCTCCAACGTCAGCGTGGCCACCACCTACCGCCACTACCCGCTGCAGCCGGCCAGGGGCGGCTTCGTGATGTGGCCCCGGGGGCCCTCCAGCCTGGGGGACGCCCTGCTCTACCAGCAGTGTCTTTTCAACGCCACGGCCGTGCAGAACCTGAAGCCCGGCGCCGTGTGGGAACCCAAAGTGGTGCCTGCCGAGAGCCAGCCTCCGGAAACGGAGGCCGCCGCCCTCGCTGCTCAACTGGAAGGGTCCCGAGCCGCTGCCCTGCAGGACTCCTCAGACCTCCAAAGGCCCGACCCCAAACCCCCCAGTGTGGGCCAGGTGGGGCAGAAGGAGCGCTCGGCCTTCTCTCCGCCCAAGAGGAGCTTTGGACAATCCTTCCCCACCCAGTCCCCGGACTTTAGCCACGTCCCGAACAAAGCGAGCAAAGACAGACTGTCCTCCAGACTCAGCTCCTTCCACTCGCTCCTGCAGAACTCCCGGACTGAGAAACCCCCCACAGGGTCCGGGTCAGAGGTCAGAGCGCCGTACTGCAAAGAGCTGCTCCAAGAGGCGGCCCGCAAGTTCAGGGAGGGCACCGCCAAGGACATTCAGGGGCTCAAGGTCACAGACAGGTTCAGCAAAGACTTTCTGAGTAAAGCTGGGACCAAGATGGCGTCCGGCGAGTCGCTGTCGTTTTCCGTGGAGGCCATCTTGAAGCGCCCGGCGCCCGCCATGGCTCGAGCCTTCCCCTCGTTCTGAAGCGCTTTGCACTAAAACGATGTGAAAGATGCAGCAGACTCCTCTGTTTTATGTTTCCACAACTTTAAAGTATTTAAATATTATTCCTCGTCTGAATGAACCTGAATCGGATCAGAACCGAGTCGTTGGTTCATCTTGTGAAGCAGTTTGTCCAGTTCTGCACAAACACTGAAAAACATTTTACACAATAAAGCTTCATGTATTTAATTCAAACTTGATTTTCTGTGCAGTCATTAAACTTTAATCTCCTGCGTCTGAACAGCTTCGGCTGTTTGTCCGCATTTATCAGCCGAAACACCTTTTTACTGTCAGCTGAACTCGCATGAAAGATGTGTCGTTTTACCCTGACCGGGCCTGGGCTCAAACCTGCGGGCTGAGGATTATCAGCCCCCACCAGCAGAAAATCACGTCAACATTTCGGATTAAACGGTTCGTGTTGAATCTTCAGGATTATTTCATTTCCTGAGGAGTTTCTGCTGATCTGAGGTTGTTTTTACACAGAAATCCTTCAACCAGTCCAGATCCAAAACTTCTACACCTGACAGGAATTTATTGATTGATTGATTTCACGTAAAGATTTTATGTTCAAACAGCAGAAAGTGTTCAGAAACAGACGACAGATTATTTCTTATCGAATTAAACTCAGATTATTGATGAACGAGAAGAAACCTGAGCTGCTCCTCGTGCTGCCGCTCATTCCTTTCCTGTTAGGTCTTCGTGTGTGTGTGTGTGTGTGTGTGTGTGTGTGTGTGTGTGTGTGTGTGTGTGTGAGAGTGTGTGTGTGTGTTCAGATCAGCAGAAGGTGAAAGAGACTCACTAATCTCTTCTTTCTGTACAAACGTTCACATTTCATCAGGAAAACAACCAAATCTTAGAATGTTTTATCTGCTCTAAAAGGCATTTATACACTTTAAAATGTGTTTATTTATTTAAAAGGAGTTTATTTAAAAGGAGTTTATTTAAAAGGAGTTTATCTATAGATAAACACATTTTAATGTCCATGTTTAAAAGTGTTTATCTTGTTAAAAGGCGTCTCTGCTTCACCTTCAGTCTGTTGAACTTCTTTATTCTGCACAGAAACGTCCCGTCAGGGGGACAAGATCGACCTCGTCACGTGCACAGTCGTGCATGGAATAATATGCAGTGAAACGTCGTGTTGCATCCAAAAATCCCCAAAAGAGCAGAAACATAAAAAAAAAACCAGAACGCACAAACAAAGCTTAAAGAGGAAACGAGCAGAGGAACTAAAAATGACATCATGGTTTGGAGATTGTCGATGCTTGGATTTAATCTCCTGAAGACATTTTGACAGAAATCTGACGCCACATGAAGTTTCTTTGTTGCTTTAAAATAAAAGTTTAATATAAAAACAGTTAAATGAAGTTTATCTCTTCGGCAGCCTGTTTATCTTTTAGCTGCAGCTCCTGAAACGGGACAAGGCCCGTTCAGGACTTCCTGTGGAAACGGACCAATCAGCAGCTCCTGTTTAAAGACAGTCATTCCTTCCCACTGTCGCCTCCACGCTGCTCAGGATGGAGTGAGACCAACAGAAGATCCGACCCGACCTTTAAAACCATTTCATGACGACCCAGATGTGAAAAGGTTCTGACCCGGTTAGAGCTCCGAGATGACGACATCTGTTGTGCTTTATAAACAAACTGAGTTCAGCTGAATTGTGGGTAAACTGTGTGTGTGCGTGCACGTGTGAGTGTGCATGTGTGTGTCATACTCGATGCCTGCAGGCAGCGGTTAACAGTGTTTATCTTCTCTAACTGCCACTGATAAGAATCTGCTGAAGTTTTTACTGCACACTCATTCCCAAAGTGTGAGATGCAACATGTCAGCAGACCCCCCCCCCACACACCCACACACACCCACACACATGCACACACACATGCACACACATGCACACACACACAGCATCAGCTGCTCTTGTTTCAGCACAAACACACAACAAAGCTGAGCTCAGTCTGTGTGTTTCGGGTCCGATGTCAAACTCAGGACTTCTGTTTATTTCATTTACCGTGAATTCTGGGTTCTGACCCGCAGAACTCAAACCCTGACCCAGAGGGACACTCTCTGTTGGTGACCAGAGCTTCCTGCTCACAGGTCCAGAAGATGCTGATCAGTGACAGGGAATTTGTGTTGAATGGACCCAGACTGACCCATCACTGGTCCAGCTCCAGACCCGTGGACCCACCAGAACATCATGTTCTGTCAGGTTCCCACGTTTTCTCCAGCTGTTTGTTGAAAAGACCAAATCTGGATCAGCCACGCCGAGACAGAAGACACAGGACGTCTCACCCATGCTGTCCTCTCTTCTCTGCCCTATTCAGGACCCGGGTCTTGTTTTAAAGTCCTAAAGGACCCACCTCATCAGTGGTCCAATGTCCTCATCAGCGGTCCAATGTCTTCATCAGTGGTCCAACATCCTCATCAGTGGTCCAACGTCCTCATCAGTGGTCCAATGTCCTCAT